ACACCACGTGCGTGCTTCGATTTGCACGCCCGAAATGGGTACAGAAATAAGAATACAATGCTCAACAACAAATCTTGCCCACACGCGACAGCGGCGGCTGTTGGACAGGCGGCCTTCTGTCCTAAGTGGACAAAAAACGCCGGCAAGGCCGAAAACAAACCTCGTTCAAAATGAAGAAGAACTGCTGCTAGTCTTTGTACCTATTGTTCCCATGACCATTTCGATCGTCCCAATTCGATGTGTGCCCTCGCTGATAATGGGAAACCCTCTGCGCCGGCTGCGCAAATCGATCCGTGCGTCGCCGCATCTTCCGCTCGCCGCTGCCTCTCGCGGTGGCACATCCGGCGCAATCCGCCACCGTGCTGTACCTGTTTGCCGGAAAGTCATCAAGTCCATTCGAGCTCCGTGACTCAAATTAGGGCGCCTGGTATGGGTACAGAAAAAATGGTACGATGCACAACAACAAATGATATGAACAACCGGGAGGCCGCTGTTAAGCAGGCGGCCTTTTGTCTCAAATGGACAGCGTCTGCGGCGACACTGGCTTTGGTTCCTTTTCCAAACGATCAAGACATGTTGTCGGTGTTCGTACACAAATCTTTCCGTACCCACTTCGATCATGACGGCTTGTGGCTGCAAGGTCATCAGATTCATCCGAGCTCTTGAATTCAGCCTTGAGAAGACTCAGTGAGCGGCCCGGATCCCAGAACCACCGGCGGTCTGGGGCGGCTCTCGCGGCGGCTCGCGTGGTTTTTCCACATGCGGCGCGAGGTGCGGGCGGAACCCACATGCTCTCAACATCACCTACGGTGGTCTCAGGGCACGTCCTGGAACCCCGCTGGCTGTTGGACACCCTTGGGTGCCGATCCAAGCGGCCACCATCTGAGCGACGATCAAAAGCGGGTCTTGTGCGAGATGACACACCGACCTTACGCGGTGGCTTATACGCGGACCGCCAGCGCGGCACGCCAGATAGGAGACCAGGACGCTCACGCGCGAAAATACCAAAGTCTTGGCTCGAGCGATTGCATGGGCAGGTTCCCCCCAGCCTCCCCCATAGGAACCATGTCCATGCATGGCGCCGCTTTGCTGGCGGCACCCGTTCCTGCAGCAGTCCAAGCGAATGCGCCCCGTCCAGCGGTGCAGGCGGTTGCAGCGGCGGTGACCAGCGTCCTGGTGTCGGGGATCTTCTGACCCCGGGTCAATCCAAGCCCGGGTCAGCAGGAAACCAAAAACTGCATTGCAGGAAAAAAACAACTGCAACGCAGAACTTCGCAAACCCGGGTCAGCCAATATGCGCGGCCGCCTCGCGGCCACGAGCGGCTCGCTAACCCGGGTCAGCCAAAGGGGGTCTTCGCAGGATCCTGCAGGATCCGGTGCCCTGGCTGACCCCCGTTTGCTTTGACCCCCGTCTCAAGGCTCCCGGTAGTGCGCCCCACTGCTGCTGCCGGGCCTCCTGACGACTTGCCGCGCGCTCCAGATGCACAGAGCCCACACGCCGGCACCGGCGACCCTGCCCGGTTGTTGGAGGCGCTGCGTGCTGCAAGACGTGCTCAACGTCAGAAGGAAAAGGCACGACGCGTGGCTGCCAAACGAGCGGCTGCTGACGCCACGACGCCGTGAGATGCTCTGGCCGCCGAGGCGGACATGTTGAGCAGGGACCGACCGTCCCGGCATTCCTATAGTCCTACCACGAAATGTTCTTAGAACCCCAAAATGTTCTAATAACAAAAACAATGTTCTTAGAACATAAGCCCGATGTGATAAAACAAGGCAGACTCCGCCATACACGTTCTAAGAACATTGCGTGGAAACCACAAAAGGTTCTTAGAACATTGTTTGGTAGGGCTATAAGCGAGCCAAGACGCTTCGCCACTGCTCGAACATGGGTGCATCTGATGGATGCGCGGCTGGCCAGTGCACTGGGCCCCGGGAAGCCCAGCCGCAGAGCTCGCCCAAGCACCGCCAGGACCCGCCAGCCTTCCATCTGCGCCTGCTTGTCCTGCTCCTGCTCAACTGCGGCTCCATGGCTTTGGAGCTGGCAACGTGCTGGTTCAGAGGTTTCGGGTCATACTCTCGGCCCTGGCGATCTGGCCTCCGAGATCTCTGGCACTCTCCGTGCGGCTTCGATGACGACATCGGCAGGGATGGCGCGACACGAGCCGTATCCCAACAAAGCCCCTGGCAAGGGTGGGAAGTCTGGCGGGAAGGGGAAGTTTTAGCTCGCCGCTTCCACGTTCGCACTACAGCGTATGAGTCTCTGCATCTTGGCTTGGTGGGTTGCCGACGACATGTTTGCTCTTCTGTGTTTTTGCAACATAAACTTCGCGGAGAACATCGCGACACCTCTGGCGAGTTCTTGGTCATCTTCTGACCTCGTACTTCCACGTATCCCAGACGTTGGCAGTCTCGGACTCCGACGTGTAGCGTTCCCGGCATCGACCTGGCGCTACCCATTCTGAGCCCAATGTAGCATTGAGGCAGGCTTAGCCAACCTCTCTTTCTTTTCAGTGTCTGGGCAACCCCCAGTTATTCTCACTACACGCGCGAACTTACGAGACCAGCTTACGCGCCAATGTCGGCGCCGACGACCCCGTTTTTGTTGCGTCACTCATCTGTGAATAACAGCCGACAGTGGATGCATGATTTTGGCTATTGGCCTTGTCGGTCTTCAAGGCGTTCCAGGCGCACGGGAAAGCTCCAAGCGGCCCACGCAGGCCGCAATAGGGCTCACTAGTGCCCCAGAGGCAGCCCCAGCAGACAACAGTAACATCACCAAGGGTGGCCGAAACCGTTCCAAGGGGCCTCAGGACGCCCCGACAGGTCCCCCCCAAACGGCCTGAAACATTTCCAACTTACAGTTTGGGCCGGACCACTTGAAAACCCTGCACAAGAAACCTAACCCTTGGGAATGTCACGCTTCCCATCGCAGAACCATCGAACCCCAAGAAACCCAGAGCCCCCTGGAGGCAAGCGGGGTGTTTTCTGGCACGGGCCCCCACTGTATCCTCCAGACAGCCCAGGAGCAGAGGGAGCGCCTGTCCGACCGTGCCCAGTGCGTATCCAAAAGTAGGGAAGCTACTGAATACACGCCAATTTGCCTTGCGCACGAAGTGGAATAACCCTGGAGGAGGAGGAGGAGGAGGAGGAGGAGGAGGAGGAGGAGGAGGAGGAGGAGGGCTGGCGCGGCTGCGTGAGGTAAAGAGGCTCGAAGGCTCTGAAACGCCCCGACGCCCCGACCTTCGACCTCACAGGAGTGCCAGGCCTGAGCTGGATCGAATCGCGCAATGGGATCGGATTGGCAACGGAGGAGGAGGAGGAGGAGGTCCCAGACCGAATCGAAATCAGATCGCTGCGTCTGGCTGCAGCTGGCCCCAACCCATGCTGGTGAATCGAGCCGAATCGGACCGAGTCGGAATCGCGGCACTAGCCGCCGAATCGAATCGCAACGCATCGGATCGTAATTAGGTGGCCCCGACTGCTGCGCCCCGCCAGGCGCTCCTCGACTGTGGCGGGTCAGCATTTCGTGGGCATCCAGGCCAAAATTACCGAGCAGCCTCATGTTGTCCCAAAAGTGCTCGGGGATCTACCAAGCCGGGTCAGACCAAGCCTGGGTCGGTCTGGCCTTGCAGGGTCCTGGGAGATCCTGAGGGGTCATGCAGGATCCTGCACCCGAGACTGGGTCAGTGCAGCCCTGGTTCTGCTGGATCCTGCGAGCTCCGGCGCTCTGACTGACCCCCGTCTGCATCGACCCCCATCTCTTGAGCCCCAGAATTGGCCTCATAGAACGCCAGGCCAAGTGGCCATGACCTTGCCCGCCCAAGCCAGCCTGGACCGCCCGCCTTCCTCCCAGAGGCACCACGGAGGCCCTCCATGCGCAGTCATTATATCTGCATCATATCTGCATCTATCCTCGGTCGCGGGGTCTTGCCACGGGGAATAGGGGAACGGTGGCAGTCGGATCTAGGACAGAAGAACATCCTTCAAGAACATGAGACCTTCCGCCGACCAAAACATACAGAATATCTAAGGGTACCCTCCCCAGGATGCACAAGTGCATCCAACGAGAACGAGAACATTTGGGCGCCTTCCCCGAATCGACCTCGATCTGATACCTCGGTCCGACTGTATGCGTATTCGCCATTTCTCGAGATCCAGTGCACGACTCCGAAGCGCTGGGTATGGACATATGCTGGCCGTGGACTCAAAAGGACCCCCAGGGATCCCCTAGAGGCCACTAAAGGCTTCCCAGAGATTCCCCATGAGCCCCTAGAGCGCGGACGTCGGGATGGGATGCTGCCCAGCAGATAACCATGCAGCGCCGCATGTACCGAATATACACTGGCACGAAGGCGCGCGCGGTTGCGTGATAGCCAACCCTTACCAAACAAACAAAAACATGACTGCCCGTGTTGGACGTATGTTGGGAACTCTCTGTCGCTGTGCGGCCAACTCTGAGCCACGTCTGCATCGCAGAGCGGTGGGTGCATGGTGGGGGCAGGGAAGGGGCAGGCCACTCCTCGGCAGAAACCCTGCCCCGATTCGAAGCCGACGCGGCGACCTCCCACACCGACCCGGCGGTTTGGCTTGGGGTCGGAGATCACGCAACGACCGCAGAGATCGGGCCGGACGAAAGGGGGGGATTGGGAAAGGGAGGTTACGAAATCTGCTACATGCAGCTGGTTTCGGCCCCACCGAGGGTCCCATATTCCTCGATGCGTGGCCGCCTCCCTGCGCCGGGAGGCGCCGGGAAAATCCGCTACGTGAGCTGATTCTCACCCCCCCCCCTTTCCCTGACCTTCCAGGAGGGCTGAAAAATAGTACCAGGACGTCGACGTCCTTATTCCTGTCGAGGTTTGAGGCAGTCCAGCTAGATCTATAAGTCTGGAGTGTTATTTTTTAGCGCTCTGGAAGGTAAGGGTTGCTATCCCCCCCTGTCGCCCGGCCCGAAGAGAGCCTGCCCGGTTCACCGGTCGACGGGGGCGCCCGGCGCCAGCACGTCAGCAGGCGCGCGAGGACGCGTGCAGCGACGGCCGCGGCGGCTCGCGCCACGCGGCGCCGCCGGGCGCGGGCAGCTGGCCCATCCTCGGGGGGAGGAGGAGGAGGAGGACGAGGAGGAGGAGGAGGAGGAGGCGGAGGAGGAGGAGGAGGGGGAGGCCGGGAGGCACCGACAAGGGTGCTCCCCAGAGCTCCCCCAGGGCGCAGTCTGGCTGGGTCGAAAGCTGGCCATCGCTCGGACGTCCAGTCCAGGTGCTTTGTTCGGTTTCGCGCGTGTTTTTTTTGTCGCCAAATGGTCAAGGATGCTCCTCGCTGGCCCTCGCCGAAGGAAAAATGCACACGTCCGAGCGATGCCAAGAAAGTGACGATGGGGGCGAAGAGCCCAGGGGGGGAGCAGTGCATGTATCCAGGGGTGCCGATGGTCCACCGCGCCTTCGGCGAGGCTGCCAGGCGAATGCGTGTGATGCCAGCCCCCTGGCTGTTCGCCCCTATCGTCGCCTCCGACTTAGAGCCGGTTGGGGGTCTGAGGCGGGACAGCACTGGTTGCGGCGAGCAGGAAGAGGGAAAGAGGTTGGTTCTGCGTTCGATCAACGTTTTTGTGTTCTCTGCCCCTGGGGGCCGTTTTCGGGCCCTGGGACTGTCAAAAACGGATCTGGAGTAAAAAACTGACCCAGGACTGATTCTGGTTTTAGTGGAATTGAATTCGTCCGCCATTCTTGGCAGTTCATTTTAAGGTCCATCCAGTTCGGACCCCCAACAAGAATTTCGAGGAGAATTCAGCCGTGGAGACGAAGGCGTTCCACGAGGCCCACAGAGGGCCAGAACGAGGGAGTGGCAGCGGTAAGTATCGGTGGCCTTCTCGGCCCCTGGTCTTACGTTTCCCCGGCATCTCCGACGACAGCACCGCGGGCGGCTTCTGCTTCAGGGGGGCAAGCAACGACGTAAACATTGAACAACAAAAACAGAAGTCCGCACACACTTCTCAGATCGGCGCAGGGCGCGGATCGCACCGAGGGCGGCGTCGCCGCGAGGGGGTCTCAGCGCAGATACGAAACATCCGCGCGAATTCCCAAAGTTTGTGCTTATTGAGCAGGGACTGAACGTCCCAGCATTCCTAGAAACATACCACGACATGATCTTAGAACCAAATAATGTTCTAAGAACGCTAACAATATTCATCGAGCCGAAAGCCGATGTATGAGTCACTTGGGCCACAAGGCTCCGCAGGTTAGGCTTGCTGCTCCCTGCTCCAGTTCGAGTTTCATGCCTCCCATATTTAGTCCTATGTCTGCTTCCTACTGTGAATTGTTGAAGTCCGAGCGAGGGCCCTGGCTACCACCACCTGGGGGGGATCTTCAACATGCCTGAGGGTCCTGGGATACGTAAGAATACATGCGACCAGCGCCCCCGAAACCTGAATCCCTCGTAAATTACGCCATGTTCGCGCCCCCGAGGCCATACGCCATACTCCCTACTAAAGTATACCATCTTCGCGCGACCGAGGCAACACTCATACATTACACGAGATCTGCGTCCCCGAAGCCACGATCCCTTGTAAATGTCGCGTTCTTCGTGTCCCCGAAATCATTAACCTGTAAGGTACGCAGTATTCGCGCTTTCGAGGCCACAATCCTTCAGTAAGCTAAAGGCCCCCAAGGCGGTACAGGATGCCTCCGAGACAACCCAAGAGTGCTACAAGGCGCCCAAGATGGTCCAAAGACGGCCCAAGAGGCTCCCAAGAGGCCCACAGGCCGCTCCAAGAGCACTCCTACATCTGCGATGTTCCTCAGGATGTTGATGGATCGTGTCACGCTCATCTCTAGTGGCCCCCCGTTCGGATTTCCGACGCTGCTTCATGACGGCGCCCAGGCCTCACAACATGGCTTTTGCATACCCCATTATCCGAGAGAGGGGGGGCCGACGGAAGGGGGCGAAGCCCTCACGGATAAAACAAAGACAGTCTCAGCCAGAAATGTTGTAAGAACATTTCGTGCAAACCACAACACATTCTTAAACTTATCTTTGGTGGGCCGATACGCAAAGTGGGACGCTTCGCCACTGCTTGAGCTTATGCCGATAATTCTTCTTCGCTCTTCGAGCTTCCCCTGCATCCCCAGACATCCGCTGATGTGAGTTTTGCAATCCGCAGCCCCAGACGCCCTGGCCCCTGGGGTACACTCCTGCCCAACCTCCAGTCTTGGTGATCCTGGGGCCGACAACGGGCTCCGGAGACCGAAACCGATGGCAAAAAATCCAACTCGCAAACGTCACGTCGTCGGAAATCGGGGCACATCTCCCTGGGGAAACTCGACGGCCTGAGTTTCACCCCGGGTCGTGTTTTCGCCCTCTGAGGCCGAAAGCGGCCAAAGGACTCCCGTTGTGATTCTTGAACGATGCAGACCTGTGTGGGTCATCTGCATCTGATCTTACGTCTCCCCGGCATCCCCGATGACAGCACCGCGGGCGGCTTCTGCTTCGGCACGGCCGACGGGAAAACCCACCTCCTCCGCCTCCTCCTGCTGCTCTTCTTCCTCCTCGTGCTCCTCTTCCATCTCCTCCTCCTCCTCCTGCTCCTCTTCCCCCTCCTGCCCCTCCCCCTCCTCCTCCTCCTCCTCTCCTCCTCCTCCTCTCCTCCTCCTCCTCCTCCTCCTCCTCCTCCTCCCCTCCCCTCCCCCTCCTCCTCCTCCTCCTCCCCCCCCTCCTCCCCTCCCCCTCCTCCTTCGACCCTCGACCTGCGGGCCTTTGGCTCCCCGAGCGGATCCCCGACGACAGCACCGCGGCCGGCTTCTGCTTCGGCACGGCCGACGGGAACAACCTTGGCATGGGGGAAACGGGTCCTGACGGAAATGGGCCTGGACTGGCCATCGCTCGGACGTCCATTCCCTTTGCTTTTTCTGGTTTCGTGCATGTCTTTTTCGCCAAATGATCAAGGATTCTCCTCGATGGCCCTCGCCGAAGGAAAAACGCACACGTCCGAACAATGCCAAGGTCCTGACGGAAACGGGGCCTGGACCCGGGCCTTCCCTACGCAGATCGGACCGGGCGAAAGGGGGGGATAGCAAAGGGGGGGTCTGAGACTCAGCTCCCGTAGCGGATGTTCCCGGCGCCTCCCGGCGCCGGGAGGCGCCCATGTATCGAGGGATGGGCCTGGCGGCGGGGCCGAAACCAGCTGCATACAGCAGATTTCGTACCCTCCCCTTTCCCTATCCCACCCTTTTGTTCGGCCCGAGTAGAGGCCTCCTAGATGGGGTCGGTGTAGGAGGGGTCGGAGGATCGCGCCGCATCGACGATACATCGGCGATGAATCGGCGATGCATCGGCGACATCGGCGATGCATAGGCGACGTCAGCGCGGAGAAGATCGGGCTCCACATCGAGCCCCATTGGCGATGCATCGCCGATGCAACGCGATTCTCCGAACCCATCTTTTCCGAACCTATCTAGGAGTCCAAGATCCTAGATTCCCCTTGGACCAGTTCTTCATCTTGAGACGATTTCTGACGGTCCCAAGAACCCAAAAACAGCGAAAAGCCTCAGGACCCGTTCCCCTCAAGACACAGTCTCGGGGATCTGATCACCGACCCAGGTCAATCCAAGCCTGGGCCGGCCAGGCCTTGCAGGAGATCCTGCAAAATCCTGCAGGCTCCTGCACCCAAGCCCGGGTCAGTGCACCCGTGGCTCCGTCGGCGGTGGACAGACCTCCCTTTCGCAAAACTCCCCTCAGTGAAAACGGCCTCGGAAACCGACGGACCTGGACCCCCGCAAGGCTGACGGCCGCGACGCCCTCTCGCGAACCGAAAACGGCCAACTCCTTCCATCGACTCTGCAGGATCCTGCAGGGTGCAGCGATAGGGGGGGAGAGGAGGAGGATGAGGAGGAGGAGTAGGAGGAGGAGGAGGAGGAGGAGGAGGAGAGCGAGGAGGTCTGCCAAAACCTCCCACTCCGCAGGAGCCTGCACGCTCCGGCGCTCTGCCGGACCCCCGTGCAGTGCGCGGGCGCGGCCGCAAGAGAAAGCCCTCGCAAGAAGCCCAACCCTGAGAACCCGTGCGAGAGGTGCCCCCGCGGGGAAACTCCGGAGCACCCTGCACCACGCAGCAGCTCCTGGAACGGCCGCGGGAGGTCACCGCGCAGCGCGGGGAGCGCAGAGGCCCCAGGATACCCTGAGGAAAAGCATACATGGTTTCTTGCTGCGCGCCCCCACTGTACGCCTGGACCCCGCGCCTCTCTTGGAACCCCTGACCCCCGTTCGCCTGGGCCCCCCGTCTCTCTTCGAGCGCGCTCCACTGCTCGCAAAACTACTACTCGCAAATGGCCCAGATCCGCCGCGGAGGATCTACGATGCTTCACGTCGAGGTGGCCACGTGCTTTTTCGGACGTTGGCGAGCAGGTGCTTCGCAGGTAGTGGGCACCCTGCACGCAGCAGCATCTGGAAGGGCCGCGGGGGGTCACCGCGCGGCGCGGGGAGCGCAGAGGCCCAGGATAATTACCCTGGCGAAATGCATTATGGCTTCCTGCTGCGCGTCCCCCCTGTACGCCCAGACCCCGCGCCTCTCTTGGAGCGCGTTCCACTACTCGCAAAGCTACCACTCGCAAATGGCCCGGATCCGCCGCGGAGGATCTACGATGATGCTTCACGGCGAGGGGGCCACGTGCGTTTTTCGGACGTTGGCGAGCAGGTGCTTTGCAGGTAGTGGGCACCCTGAACGCAGCAGCTCCTGGAGCGGCTGCGGGAGGTCACCGCGCAGCGCGAGGAACGGGGAAGCCCAGGGTACCCTGACGAAAAGCATACATGGTTTCTTGCTGCGCGCCCCCCCTGCACGCCTGGACCCCGCGCCTCCCTTGGCAGCACTACTCGCAAAGCTACCACTCGCACTACCACTCGGAAATGGCCTGGATCCGCCGCGGAGGATCTACGATGCTTCACGTTGAGGTGGCCACGTGCTTTTTTCGGACGTTGGCGAGCAGGTGCTTCGCAGATCGTGGAACGCGCTCGGTGACCCTTGTCGGGCGTTGGCAGGACTGGGTTTAGTGGGCCCTGGTTTAGTGATGTGTACTGGGGGAGGCCCCCCCGCCCCGTTCCACGAACCGGAACTGTCGCCGCCCGAAAAACACCAGCTGCGGCAGACCTGGTTTGGCGACTCTGGCCAATTCAAGGGCCTCTGGGGCCCTACCGCTGACCGGGTTCCCTTACCTGGGGTCCTGGCTATACCCAATCTTGGCACCCCGACCCCGGATCCGCCGCGGAGGATCCACGATGCTCTACGTCGAGGTGACCACGTGCTTGTTCCGGACGTTTGCGAGCAGGTGCTTCGCAGGCAGCGGAACGCGCTCGGTGACTCTTTGGAGCCCCGACCGCCTCCCGCGGGCCTCGCCCGCCGCCGGCGCGCCCTGCGCCCTCCACGCGCCGACGTCCCCCGGGCCTGGCGCGCGCGGCGGGCCCGGGGAGGCGCCGCCCCGCAGGGGGCGCCCCGCGCGGCCCTCGGGCGCCTCGCGGCGGGGGCCGAGCGGGTCCGCGGACCCCCTCCTCCTCCTCCTCCTCCTCCTCCTCCTCCTCCTCTCCTCCTCTCCTCCTCCTCATCCTCCTCCTCCTCCTCCTCCTCCTCCTCCTCCTCCCCCCCCTCCTCCGGAAAAACGGGCCCCGAGCTCCCGGCGCTGCAGCCTTCTCTCTTCGCGGCGAGCGAGGGGGGGGGGAAAGCGAGGGGGGGGGGGGCCTGCACGGTCCTCCTTCTCCTCCTCCTCCTCCTCCTCCTCCGGAAAACGGGCCCCGAGCTCCCAGCGCTGCAGCCTTCTCTCTTCGCGGCGAGCGAGGGTGGGGGGGGAAAGCGAGGGGGGGGGGCGGGCCTGCACGGTTTTTCCCCGTGGCCGCAGGCGACCCGTGGGGGAGGAGGGCGGTGAGGAGGAGGAGGAGGAGGATGAGGAGGAGGAGGAGGGCGGTGAGGAGGAGGAGGAGGAGGAGGAGGAGGAGGAGGGGGAGAGGATGAGGAGGAGGGGAGGGGGAGGGGGAGGGGGAGGAGGGGGAGGGGAGGAGGGGGAGAAGGAGGCGGAGGAAGAGGGACGAAGAGGAGGAGGGACGAGGAGGAGGAGGGAGGAGGAGGAGGAGAAAGAGGAGGAAGAGGAGGAGGACGGGTCGCCTAAGCCATTCGGAGAAACCCTCCAGGCAGGCCTTCTCAGCAGGCTCGGGAGTCCTGGGCCTTCTGAGAAGTTTCTGAGCCTCCCCCGAGGACGCAGGGAACCTCTCGGAAGGCGCGAGGTCTGCTTCTGAGAATGCCCGCCGCCTTCCGCGAGGGCCTTCTCCTTCCCCCTTCAGGCCCCCCCCCTCGCTCGCTGCCGATGTCCTCAACGGGCCTTGTGCCTGCCCGGCTCCTGGGCCCTGGGGCCCGATCGACCCCGCCCGAAACGTGAGGCGGGAAGAGGGAGGCTGTTTCTGTTCTGCGACCTTGGTATGTTCTGCAGTTGTCGGGGCTCCCGTGGTCCTGGGCTCCCCAGTCGCGATCGACGAAGAGATCCACATCCACGCTCAAGTCGGGCCTATCCCTCTACAGGGGGCATCTTCAAAAATGGAATCCTAAGGATTCCTAAGGATTCCTGAGGATGCTCAACTATGCCTACGGATTCCTAAGGATGCCCACGGATTCCTAAGGATTCCTAGGGATTCCTAAGGATTCCTATGGACTCCTACGGATGCCTCAACCTGCCTCAGTTTCAGCCTGCCTCGGCTTGCCTCAGCCTCAGCCTCAGCCTGCCTCGGCCTCAGCCTCAGCCTGGCTCAGCCTCAGCCTCAGCCTGCCTCGGCCTCAGCCTGCGTCAGCCTCAGCCTCAGCCTGCCTCAGCCTCAGCCTGCCTCAGCCTCAGCCTCAGCCTCGGCCTCAGCCTCAGCCTGCCTCGGCTTGCCTCAGCCTCAGCCTCAGCCTGCCTCGGCCTCAGCCTGCCTCGGCCTCAGCCTGCCTCAGCCTCCCCTCCTCCCCCCCCCTTCCCCCCCCCTTCCCCCCCTCCATTCAGCCTCACCTTGTCTCAGCTTCGGCCTGCCTCGGCCTCAGCCTCAGCCTCAGCCTCAGTCTCAGCCTCAGCCTGTCTCGGCCTGAGCCTGTCTCGGCCTCAGCCTCAGCCTGCCTCAGCCTCAGCCTCAGCCTGTCTCAGCCTCAGCCTGCCTCAGCATCAGCCTCAGCCTCAGCCTCAGCCTGCCTCGGCTTGCCTCGGCCTCAGCATCAGCCTGCCTCGGCCTCGGCCTCGCCTCAGCCTCAGCCCTCAGCCCTCAGCCTCAGCCTCAGCCTGCCTCAGCCTCAGCCTCAGCCTCAGCCTGGCCTCAGCCTGCGTCAGCCTCAGCCTCAGCCTCGGCCTCAGCCTCAGCCTCAGCCTGCCTCAGCCTCAGCCTCAGCCTGCCTCGGGCAGCCTTCAAAATATTGCACAGGACTCGTGTTCTGGGAACACGAAGATCACGAAGTGGCCCACAGCTGGCTCCGGGCAATCAAAATATGGTGCAGGAATGGTGTTCTGGGAGCACGAAGAACACGAAGTGGCCTACAGTTGGCTCCGGGCATTCAAAATTAGCCTGGGAATTGTGTTCTGGGAACACGAAGAACACGAAGTGGTCTACAGTTGGCTCCGGGCATTCAAAATGTGGCCTGGGAGTGGTGTTCTGGGAACACGAAGAACACGAAGTGGCCTACAGTTGGCTCCGGGCATTCAAAATGTGGCCTGGGAATGGTGTTCTGGGAACGCGAAGAACACGAAGTGGCCTACAGTTGGCTCCGGGCATTCAAAATGTGGCCTGGGAGTGCTCTGGGCAGTCAAAATGTGGCACCTGGCAATGAACATGGGGAGACCCCGGTTTTCCCCGGCACCCGTCTGGCATCTGCCCAGACCCCCCTGGGGAGTCATGATGCTCTCTTTTGAAACCACTAGAAACCTATCAGTCTTCGCTGTTAGGTAAAAATAGTCTGGGGACGATTTGTTTTGCTATTATTTGCAATTGTTGACTATGTTTTTCATTTTTTATATTGTTCGTCCAACGTGCGCCTGTAAAAGGACATGCCCGACCTAAATCCACGCCCTCGCGGGTCTGGGGGTCCCACGGACACACAGTCGCACGGGTGCGTTCCCAGGCGGGGCATCCGCGAAAGCACGGAAAAAACGTATCCTCGGGGTCGCGGCCCAGAAGCTCGGCCCGCGAGGCTGTGGATACGGATGTTTTTTTTCGTTTGCCAGCGAAGAGCCTTCCCCTACAGAGGCGGAGCGCCCAATTGCGCGCCCAATCCCAAGCAATGCTGACAGGAGCATCCATCACTTGGCGTTGCTTTTGGGCGCTATTTGAGCGCTGTTCGGCGCTACTGGGCGCGATGGGGCGCTGTTTGGCGCTACTGTGCGCTACTGGCAGCTATTCGCTGATGACAATTCAATCCATGACTCAACCCAGGGCCCTTGCAGGGCCCAGGCAGGCCGAAAGCGGCAAAACGCCCTAAGGCCCGCCCCCCTCTATGCCCTTTAGCTTCCGTGCGAGGAAAAAACAAAACTGAATAGTAAACATAAACATGCAAAACTGCGCAACCATGAACTGTCGGAAGTCCGCGCGGAATCCTTGGATCTGCCTTGGACCTCCGTGCGCCAAGGGGGGCGCCCGAGGCGCCGCTAGGGGGTTCAGGCGCCGATCCAAGAAATCCGCGCGGACCTCCTTAGAGCCGTGCTCACACCGCTCCTTGCCCCCTCGACTTCCGGGGAGCCCGCCGGCTTCCGCCGCGCGCCTCGTCCGCGTCCGCGATCATGCCGGGAATGGGGAACGCCTCCTGCACGGCGGCGGCGCCGACGGAGGCCGCGCGGGGGCCCGCGTCGCGGCCGAAGGGGACCTCGGCGTCGGCGCGGGCGCCGCCCCGGCTGAGCGGCGGCAGGGCCCCGGTGCTGGCGCTGGGGTGCAGGCCAGCAGTCGGCCTCTGGGCCGTGAAGTGCACCAGCTGACAGCTGCTCGCCTCGCGGTCCCGCCCCTGGTCACGGAGGGCGGCGAGCAGATCCACATCCCAGGTCACCCAACTTCGCGCCCTCCTCCTCCTCCTCCTCCTGCTCCTCCTCCTCCTTCTCCTCCTCCACCTCCTCGAGCTCCTCCTCCTCCTCCTCCTCGAGCTCCTCCTCCTCCTTCTTGTGCTCCTCCTCCTCCTTGTGCTCCTCCTCCTCCTCCTCCTCCTCCACCTCCTCCACCTCCTCCACATCCTTCGGTGGCAACTCACGGGAGCCTCCCACACCATCTTGTCGGCTCTTGCGAACCGACGCTAGTCGACTCGCCAAATCGACGCTCATCGACGCCAAATCCACACCGAATCGGCGCTATCTCGTTCACTCCCAGCCGCTGGTAGGCGCCAGTCGACGCGGAAGGCAGAATGAAGAGGGCATACCAAACTCCCTCGATTCGCTACCGCTGGCGGCGCGCAGAGGGGAGCAGGGGGAGGGGGGACGGCTTCTTGGAAGGAGGCAGCCTCTTAGACGGCGCGGGCCCTGCATCCACAGGCGAGGCCCGTGCCTCCCAAGCGCCAGGGGTGCCTCTGGGATGCCCCCCCCTCCCCCTCCGCCTACTGCGCGTGGCCGTCACCGAGATAGCCCAGGTCGCCCAGCTTCGCGCCCCCGCGCCCGCGGGCCGCGACTCGCGCGATGACCTTCGCGCCCCCGCGCCCTCCTCGCGGGCCCGCCCCCCTTCTCCGGAGAGGGGCCCGCCGCTCCGGCCCAGAGCCGCGGCGGGGGGGGAAGCGCCGTCCACCTTGGCGCCCCGCGCGGGCGACCTGGACATCCAATCGATGCTGCTCTCAGGTCGGGCATGCCCTCACACAGGCGGATGTTGGAGGATACCTTGCAAGAATGATCAACCAATAGTCAAGCAGAGTAGAGAAGAACAATAGGGAAATCGTCCCCAGACCATACTTTGACTATGTTTGAACACACTCCTCCTGTAGAGGGACATGCCAGACTTCATGCTACTCAGAAGGCGTGTGAGGGCCAAGGAGTGTTCGTCCACCGCAGTTCTTCAAGTACGACGCAGGCAGTGCCATGAGGGCTGGCACGGGCTGCTGGCCATCGATGGAGCTGGACGGGGTAACACACACGTACACACGCGTTGCGCTCACACACGCCCTGAGGATCATCGATCCAAGCCCAGGCGGTCTGGGTACCGAGGCGTGATCCCATGGATGCGCGACTCCATGTGCATGCATTCGCGCGGAACCTCGCATTCGATCCGTGGGGTCGCAGCACAGGAGTCCAGACCGCGAGGCAGGGGATATGAATATGTTCCCCTCCCACAACCTGCACATCCATGATGGGCGACCGTGGCCCTGTGGTGCCCAAGAAGCGCGCCTTGAGATCCAGGGAACTGTTCGCACTCACCACCTCCGCCAGCTTGGCCTGCAGCATGTCGTGCTGTGCTATCAGATGCTGGCAAGTAGGGAAGTCGATCAGCTTCACTGACTTGATGAGCTGGGAAGGCTGGCCAACGCCTCCAAACGTGGCCTTCCGATCGACGGCAGCCTGCAACCGAAGGCTCGCGGCACGCTCCGCGTCGCCGTCTCCCACGGAGACGACGTTCCGGAACGGCTTGCACTCCCTCTGGAAAGCGCCCATCTTGAAAGTGATCGGCAAATTCATAGGCTTCGCATAAATCTCGTACCGACGCATCTGTTGCAGCAGCTGCGGCATGAAGTGCTGGCAGGACTGGTCCACCCACCCTGGCGCGCTGTTGGTGATGAAGATCACCCTCCCGAGTGTCTCCGCGAACGCCAGGGTTTCAGAGGCTATGTTGCACAATTCGGTCAGGAGACGCTGGACCATCCGGTGGCTCAAAGATGGGGTCCTGAGGGATGGGGGGTCCTGAGGACAGGAAGGAATCCAAGATTGAACTTACGATGTTTGAGGTACCTCGCCCTTAGGATTAGGTCGGGCGTGTCCTCCTACAGGCGGATTTTGGACAAACAGAATTTTTGTAAGAAAAAAAAACATATCCCGAAATGATCAAAGCAAAATCGAGAAATCTTCCCCAGACTATGTGTTTACGATGTCTGCACAGTCCTCCTGTAGAGGGACAGGCCCGACGTAACCTCAGGACCCTAGCCTTCAGGACACCATCTTTGACCACCGAACCATGGCTTGTCCCTGGCCGCGGCCCGGCACCGCGTGCAGCCTCTCCAGCCACGTGGTGGGCAGGATGGTGTCGTCCCAGTCGAAGACGATGACGATGGGCCTGTTTTCCACCACCACCATAAGTGGGAAGGGGAAAGGAGGTGGAGGACGAGGAGGACGAAGAGGAGGAGGAGGTGGAGGAGGAGGAGGAGGACCGTCTCCCCCTCCAACGTATGGTGGTGGTGGGAAACAGGCCCATCAGATGAGCGTCTCGTGCTTCGTGCCGTCGCCAATTCTGTCCACGACCCCTGCGCGATCTCTACCAGCCGCGCGGTCCCATTCCATCTAAGGGCATGCGAAAACCAATCGCGTGCTCGTCCACCCGGGCACCTGGAATGATCGAGATAGAGGTGAAAATGCTGCCGCGTCGATCAGGCATCGCGATGGGAAATCAGAACACGATCTCAAAAGAACCCAAGACACAAATGCACGAGACCTTGTACGAACGGCAACATACAATGACAAAGCAACGAACGGATGACACCAATGTACTGCGTTAGAACGTGGCAACAAAAAACGGGAACCGGCAAACTACCAATGTGAATACACAGTGCGCGTATACGGTATGCGCGTGTGCTTGGAGAAACCTGCGCCCCCCCAAGGAACAACAGATGTACATCTCCGCCGGCCCCCATGGGAGGGGTTGACAGGCTTCGAGGCGTGGGCAATCCTGTTCCCTGCAGCACTTCCCAATCAGAGCTACTGATGCTACACACTTCTAAGTCCGATGCCGGTCTCGCCCTGCCGAGTTCACAGTCTCCCGTACATTGCTACAACATCGCGCGCCCGAGGTCACATCCTCATTTCCCCATTTCCAAAAAAGGTTACGACGAACTGGCGATCCCGAAGCCACAACCTTTTGTTGAATGCAGCGCACTCGCGCTCCCGAAGCTAGAACGCATTACACAATGGAGCAAGCTTGCGCACCCGAGGCCATAACCCAGTGCGAATCACGCCGTGCTCGCTCGCGGTCCTACGGCCACACCCCCTGGCCACCTACATCTCGCAGCACAGCCTCCGGCTATCTATCTGCCACAGGCTTCTCTCCCCGAGGCCACATCACCCTGCAAAGTGCGGTTTTCGCTGGCGCTCCCCGACCGACGGCCCAACGTAGTAAATGAAAGCAGCCCCGCGCTCCAGAGGCCACACTTCTTTGTACACCACTGCGGGCAGTACTTATATCCATATCCAGAGCGTCGTGGACTTTTTGGGAAGAGGTGCCGCAACGCCGAGGCGCGCTGGATATGGATAAGATCAAGCCTCTTGGGGCCTGACTTTTAATCCATATCCAGTGCGTCTACGGTTTCTGGGGAAGAGAGCCCAAGAATCCAAGACGCACTGGATGTGGATATAACTATTGCCCGCAACCACAGCGCGTTCGCGCCCCCAAAACAAAAAAAAACGCACCTGCGGACGACCAGCCGGAGGGACGCGCGGGCACGACGGGCCGCATGCGGCACCTCGGGAAAGCAGTTCTCCCGGAGGCCCCGCGCGGCCACCTTTGAGGCCCGATCTCTGCGCCGGATCCGCGCCGGACTGCCTACCAGACCACCCCAACCCAACCCGAAGACCCGAATTTGAATCGAATTTCGGGTTGGGGGGGGTACGGGTTCCATGTGTTTTTTCAGCGTTCCCCGACCCCCCCCCCACTGGAAATCGAGGATAAATTCGGGCCTTCGGGTTGGGTTGGGGAGGTTTGGTGGGTGGTGAGCGTCGGACTTGCAGCGGGTGCACGTCGGGCCGTGTTGGGTTGGCGTCGGACTTTAACGCCGGAGCATCGCCGCGGGAGCGTCGACCCATAGCTCGCGGAGCTGACGTGTGGACCAGATAATGTAACTATGACGCGCCGCGCGAGGCCTCCAGGATTGCCCCCCATAAAACATCGGCAGTCCAAGAAGAAGAGGAGGAACACAAAAACGATGCGCGTGCTTCAGACCAGACTGGTTGGGTTCTGCGTCATGTTACGCACTTCCTCCGCCCAATGCGGCCGAAACCGTCCGCGACGAAATTGCGTCGCTCAATGTTTCAGCGTTCTGCACGCTTCGAATACATTTTGCCGGACGAACAGATGATTCCAAGCTGTTACGGCATTGCCATACAGCTCGATGTGTCGACCGAAGAGGACTTCGGACAACAATATGTTGCTCGCTCTCGTTAAACTCTCCATGTCGCTCACTCTCGATGTGTACGGGTGCCGTGCGCCGATGACCTTATTCACGCATCTGCAACGACAGGAGTACAACCTGCTTTTACATGTTTTGGTAAACAACAACAAGTATTTAGTTCATGTCGAAGCTTGCTGGACACGCCGGTGGACTATATGAACCCTTGTCCTTCCCGAGTGTGGTGTGCGACCACAACTTTCGCAACGAACTAGAGATGTTCGAACACTCGCCCAACGTCCGCGGTAATTCGTTGTCAACTCTGCCGTCGCACAATACCAAACCTCCTTTTTAACAGAGTGCCTCTCTTACGTTTTTGATGGAGCCCGTGTAGGCTTCCTGGCCTCACCCCGGGCGAAGACATGTTTGACGGCGCTGTCGTTCATCATGCTCTCCGAATGTTTCGGGCGCTTGGCAAGACAAGCGGGTGTCATCTGCGTCAGAGATGCAGATGGTTACGCCGTGCTCCGCCTCCGCCTACACAGACCCAGCCCGGGCGTCACGCAACATGAACGAGTGAACAACAACGAACAAGTACGAAATACGGGCTCAGGACGCCGCTTTTCGCAATCACTGCGTACTGCTTCCTCTGAGCGGAATATTCCGCAAAAGGTCTACAATGGTGAAATGCCGAACTGCAAACAAAAACGCATCAAACCGACCATTGGTTGTGGCAGCCCGACTTCGACCGCACTGCACGTGCATGTGGGTTTTTGGTGGTCAAATGCCTTAGCTCAGTCCGGTAACAAAAAAAGATGAACCCAACCACTTATTCAAGCGCTTTGGAAAGGAGCCGGACTTCGACTCTCGCAGCGATCTTTCACACCCTCAATCGATGTCAGTGGCGTGGCGCAGGCGTTCTGCATCTTACGGCCAAGATAGGGATCAGTCAGTAGTTGCTTGGCAAGCACGCGCCCCCTTCTTGCAGTGCAAAATGACGTGGACTTGTCCCTCAATTGCGGGTATGTGTGTTGGCATCCCACCATATTTGGCACACGCGCAACAGAGTTCCTTATATATCGAAATCTGCTGCGAGAAATTTCCAACACATCCGCGGCACATCGTCTGGTCCCGCGGCATTTTCTTTGTTGCTGAGGGTACTGGGTCTGGCTGCTGCATCGGTAAGATAAAACAGCATGTTAGCGACGAGGACAGGGCAGGACAAGACATCCGCATGAGGGGGTCAACGTCAATGCGCCCGCCAGGGTGCAGTGAAGAGCGCATGCTTCCCCTGCGTGAGTGCTATGCAGCAAGGACCGACAGCCCTTCGACATCTTCTCGAGGGGAGGAGGAGGAGGAGGAGGAGGAGGAGGAGGAGGAGGAGGAGGAGGAGGAGGAGGAGGAGTAGGAGGAGTCTATTTGCCTGTCTTCGTGCAAGCCCCAGCCCACCAAGGAAGAATCCAACCACCTCCACGGTCCGTCTCTCGAGGCGGCTCGTCCCGGCGTTCTGTCCCCGATGGTTGCGACAGTGGTTCCTTTGCCCGATCGATTCCAACAAGCTGTCCTCCCTCCGCCCCCTCCCTCCTCCTCCCTCCTCCCTCCTCCTCCTCCTCCCTCCTCCTCCTCCTCCTCCTCCTCCCTCCTCCCTCCTCCTCCTCCTCCTCCCTCCTCCTCCTCCCTCCTCCCTCCTCCCTCCCCCTCCCCCTCCCCCTCCCCCTCCCCCTCCCCCTCCCCCTCCCCTCCTCCTCCTTCTCCTCCTTCTCCTCCTCCTCCTCCTCCTCCTCCTCCTCCTCCTACTCCACAATCGTGGGGCTGGCAAGGGGCGCCCTAACAACAGGTTAGAAAAGTCTTCGAACATTGATTCCAATCTTTGGGTGGCCTCGTCGAGCGAATCCGAGAAAGACACATGCATTTACCAGAGATGTTTTGAACTTATCCGTGCAGGTGTTCTTCTTGTTTGTTGGGGCAAAGGCCGACACGTCAAACTTCGCATTGTGTTTCACACACCCACCCCGAAGGAAACATAAAGATACATCTGAAACTGTCAAGAAATGGAAGCTGTTCAGCCCGGCCTGCCGAAGAGTCCTACGGGTCTGTGCCAACGGAAGAACAAACATGATTACATAAGATGTGATCAGTTTGGGAGAATGCCTCAGGAGAGATTGGGCCCATTGGGGCTGCATCTAAAATACTCTGCACACTGTGCGCTCCTCGGCGGGGACGTCGAAGAATGCATTTGCAATTGCCAAATCATGTGCAAAACAACTCCATTGATAATTGCGCACTTGTGAATTGATTCACGGATTTCTTTCCAACTGAGCTTTGAGCGCATAATTCCAAATAGGTTGACCTTCTCTGAAATTGTGGCGAAAGGGACGGGGACGGACCCGGGGACGGGGACGGGAACGACGAGGATGACGTCGACGACAAGGTCCGGGACGGAGACGACGAGAACGAGGACGAAAACGAAAACCACAACGACGAGGACAAGGGCGACGACGACGACGACGGACGCCTATCCGGAGGTCTCTGTAGGCCTAAGAAGGTTTCCGGAGACCTCCGGAGGCGTCTGGAGACCCTTCGAGGCCCACGGTGACGACGACGACGACGAGGACGACGAGGACGAGGAGGACGAGGACGAGGACGACAGGAACGTGACGAGGACGGGGACGAGGACGATGACGTCCATGACGAGGACGACGGCGAGGACAACGACTAGGTTGAAAACGAAGATGCCGACGAGGACGAGTACGATGGTCGCCTGGGGAGGCAAATGGAGGCTCCTCGAGGCCCTCGACGGCGACGACGATGATGCCGACGACGACGACGATGGACGAGGACGAGGACAAGGACGGGGACGACTACGACCACAACGTCGACGGCGACGACGAGGACGACGACGACGAGGACGATGACGAGAATGAGGACGAAACCGAGGACGACGGACGCCTCTGGAGGTCCCTGGAAGTCTCCAGGGGCCTAAGGAATTCTCCAGGGACCGCTGGAGGTCCTGCGAGGCATTCGGTGACGACGACGATGACCAGGACGACGACAGCCACGAGGATGAGGAGAACGAGGTCGACGACGACAACAGGGACGAGGACGAGGACGGGGACGGGGATGAGGGCGACGATGACGACGACTAAAGCGATGACCACGACGACGGCACCGACGACAACAACGACGACATCGACGACGACGACGACGGCCGCCTCTGAAGGTCTTCAGAGGTCTCCCGAGGCCTCAGGAAGCGTCAGCAGGCCCTGCGATGACCTCGCGCACGACGACGAACGGTAAAGCAGCCTGCAAGCACCACAGTAGCCCGCGAGCATCATAATGACAGCGCCGGAGGCGCGCAACGTGGGTGATTGGGGGGAAATGCCAGTTATGGGTTATGGGGGGGGGGAAAAGGGGGCATCACGCGCGTCATGGCCCAGAGGGTTCAACAAAACACCCTCTTGGACCGGCAGGAGCAGGGCTCACGCGCGGGCGCCCTGTCTAGAGGAACAACAATCGCCATACACATAATTAAACGTTTGGCGGTCCGCGAGGATTTCTTGGATCCGCGCTGGAGCGTTTCCCTGGCGCGCGCAGCGCGAGTAGTGGAACGCGCTCGGTGAAATTCAGAATGGTATAAAGAAACTTCCAACAAATACTCAAACATAGTATACGAATAATCTCAAGAAAATGTTTTGACTATCTTTGAATCTTCCTCCTGCAGAGGGACAGGCCCGACTTAACTCTGGATGCGGGTGTTGGAAGCCGCCCCAATTAGGGAGCCCACCGAAGACGAACGCGTTCAACCACGTACAGGGCCCCCCAATCCGCGAGACCGGCCGCGTGATACGAACGTTCGCGGAATGCGTACTCTCGAAACGAAAACGAACGTGGACTCATGTACGGGTGCGTCCCTTTTTTCGCTCCTGACAAAGTGGGGTCCGAGTAAATGGGGTCGGAGGGTCGCGCCGCATCGCCGATGCATCGGCGACACGGTGCATCAACGATGCGGCGCGATCCACCGACCCTCTCTGCTTCGACCGCCTGTGGGCGGCCTGGAGACGTGCTGTGCTAACGCAGTCGCCGGGGGCTTGGCTGGGACCCCCATCGGCGGCTCTCATCCTCTCCTCTCTGCGCCACCCGGCCCTCCCCTTCCCTTGCCCCTCTCGGCCTTCGTCGTCCCGCGTGTCGGGGTAGGGCACCGCTGGCGAGAGGTCCCCGAAGCAGTGCCCGAAGCCGTAGTCGCTGCCCCCTCCACCCTGGCGGCCGCATGCATCAGAAAAGGGCTGACCGCGGGCAACGACCTAATGTTCGCTAGGATGAATCCCCGAAGGATCCGAGACGGCGCCGCCGAGGAATCCTAAGAAATGTCGACGGCTCCAGGAGGAGTCTCTGTCTCGGAATGGCCGGGCGATCCCGAGACGAACCCTGGGTCACCCAGAAATCTCGCGCCGAGGCCCTGCAGGCAGAATCACCACATGGCTGGTCGTGCTCGGTCCATCTTCCTTGGATGCATAAGCCCATAAACAACTTCTTAGCGGCGCGCAGCAGAGGGCAAGGGGAAAGGAAAAGGCCTCTTACAAGGAGACGGCTTCTTCTTAGGACGCGCCGCCCCTACAGCTACAGATGAGGCCCGCACCTTTTTAAGAAGCAGGGGTGCTTCTAAGGAGGGGGGAAGGCGTCTTAAACGGAGGCTGCTTCTTCTCAGAAAGCGCCGCCCCTTCATCTGTAGATGAGGCCCGCGCCTTCTAAGAAGCAGGGGTGTTTCTAAGAAGCCTTCCCCCCTCCCCGACCCCCCTTCGGAGACATTTTTTTCTGGGGGGGGATAACGCATGTTGCCCGGGGGAGGGGGCGTGGGGGGGAGGGTAGCGGTAACTGGGGCCGCGGCGCGCACCTCTTGAGGCGCGCCGCCTACGTCGTCGTAGTCGTCGTCATCGTCGCCGCCAAAGCCCACACCGCCTGTGCACACAGCACGGGCTCTGTACAATGCCTTTTGTGCACCAGGGCTGTTACAGAAATCAAATGTGTGTGCACCACGGCGACTGAATACACCATAACAACCGAGTGTATCACGACGCGTTTGTACATCGCGCGATCTGTATATTGCCTTTGCACATCGCCTTTGTACATCGCACCACGACGCCTTCGTACATCTCTTGTTGTGCAGGAGCAGCAGCAGGAGCAGGACCAGCACGAGCATCAGCTGAGGAGGCGCAAGAAGAGCAGAAGGAGGCGCAGAAGGAGGCGCAGCAGGAAAAGCAACAAGAAATTCCCGCCAGCCCCGCCCCTGGGAGCCATGATGACAACAATACTTGTTTTCAGGTGAACACCTTTATACACACAGCCATGCCGACGTACACCACAGCAGCCAACTGCACCGCAACGCCAGTGATTATTGACACCACAGCTGCTGTTGCAACACCCCTCCGCGCGCACCACGCTGCCTGCGTAACCACAAAACTTGCGTACACCCCCACGGTCCCGACGGAGCCGAACTCCGGGAAATTGCTGGAGGCCTGAGTGTATCATATCCAATCGTATCATATGATTGTGGTTATTGCTCTTTTCTGGCCCAAGGAACACATTTTGAACCCACAGTGAATGTTAACACACAACGTCTGTGTGCACAGAAATGAAGAGGGGGAAGGGGGAACAAGTGCGAAGATATGGGTGGGCCCATTGTATCCCACAACGCACGCTTACATCGTAGCGACCCCAGCAATGCCGACGTACACCACAGCAGCCGTCTGCACCGCAACGCTGGTGATTATTGACACCACAGCTGCTGTTTCAGGACCCCACCGCGTGCACCACACTGCCTGCGTGTACCACAAAATTTGCGTACACCTCCATGGTCCCGGCAGAGCCAAAGTCCGGGAAATTGCTGGGGGCCTGAATGTATCATATCCAATCGTATGCTCTGATTGTGATTATTCTCTGGCCCGAGGAACGCTTGGAGATTTTGAGCCCACAGCGAAAGTGAAACAAAACGCCTGTGTGCACAGAAATGGAGAGGGAGGAGGAGGAGGAGGAAAAAGTGCGCAGATATGCGTGGGCCCAGTACATTCCAAAACGCACACTTACATCGTAGCGTCCTTGCGCGCTACAGCAATTGTGTACACCACAAGGCTTGTGATGTGTACACCACAACTCTTGCGTATTTATGTCTGCGTACACCACGGCTGCTGCTGCAATGACAAGGCTTGCGCCAGAACTCCCGTGCATACCGCACTGCCTGAAAACACCATAACGCACGCCCGCGTGTACAACAAGCCTTAGGCTGCCCGGGATCGCGAGCTGGATCGGGGCCGGGACGTTACCGCTACGGGGGGGGAGGGAGGGGGGGGGTAACATGCGTGATCCCTCGGGTGGATAAAATAATGGTCTCTTGCGCGAGGCCGATTTTTTGAGCAGGGACCGACCGTCCAGGCATTCCTATAGACCTATACCACGACATGTTCTTCAAATCCAAACATGTTATAATAACGAAAACCATGTTCTCAAAACAAAAGCACCATGTGTTAAAACAGGACAGCTTCAGCCAGAAATGCTCTAAAAGCATTTTGTGAAAATCGCGCAAGGTTCTTAGAACAGTCTATGGTGGGCCTATGGGCAAGCAAGGACGCCTCGCCACTGCTTGATTTTGAAGAGTGGCGATGCCAATGCGATGCTGTACCAGACTGCAGACCAAAGACCACGGGCCACGCACGACCCGAGGCCGCAAACCCGGACCCAAAAGGACACGGCCTCGGCATCGCGCCAGCCACCCACCGGCCTCACACGCCGCGCACATACACATCCAGGGTCAGGTCGGGCATGTCCTCCTACAGGCGCATGTTGGAAGAACAATGAAGAGTAGCCCAACGTAAAAAAATGAGCAAAAATAATATACCAATCGTCCTCATACTATTTTTTGACTGTTCTCGATCACTCCTCCTGTAGAGGGACGTGCCCGACTTAGACATAGGGCCCCGACAAATTAGCTGGCTTTCAATCCGCGCTGGCCTGGCCGGCCAAGGGCCACCCCGTCCAAAGAAATGCACCCTGGCGGCAGACGGCCCTGAACAGCAGAATCTAAGAGTCCGCCGGCCCCCGCCTGCCAGGGGTGAGAAGGCGTGTGAGATGATTGGCTGCCTCCCCTTTCCCCCTCCCCCAGGGTACAACATCTTGTCTGCGAGGGGGGGCTATCCAAGCTCCCCGGCGCACCCCTGGGCACTCCAGAGCTTCCATATCTGCCTTCCGTGGCCTCGGAGACGCTCCAAGACGGTCCCGGATCGCCGACCGATTGGCCCAAGACGCCTTAGATGGCTCCAGCCCCAAGACGCCTTCAAGACGCCCCAAGAGCATTCCTAAGAGGGCCTCAAGAGGCAAAATTAATGCTGCTGGGGTTATCGTCTTCTTGACCCTCCGACGCCCCGTAGACCGCCCCAGAGCTGTTCAAGAGGCCCCTACGAGGGCCCCAGGACGGCTCAAGACGGTTCCAATATGGCCCAAACAGGGGCTCAAGACGGGCAAAAACGCCCCAGAAGGCCCCAAGAGAAGCCAAGAGGGAAAACACCAACAGAAAATCCCATCTTTCCGCTCCAAGAAGACCCCCAAAGGCCCCAAGAAGTACTCAGGCGGCCCAAAAGATACACACACACAATAAGCCCCAAGAGGCCCCCAAGAGACCATGAGGAGGCCCTAAAGCTGCCCACAAGACGCTTCAAAACTGCCTCCGAGAGGCTCCGCAAGGCCAGCAAACAGCCCCCAATACGCCCACAAGACTTCCTAGATACTGCCGACGAAGGCAACGACGCCTTAATCGTGGAGTCCTCGCCTCTTCCGGGGGTCGGCAGAATGGCGTACTGCGCATCCGATGAATCGAGCGGGAGAAAACACATGGGATAGCGGGAATGTACGGGAGAGAATGCGGGAGAGATGCGGACAAACAGACAGGAGAACAATGGGAGAACACACGAGGGAACGTACATGGACCTATGTCGGAGAATATACGGGAGATCAGACATGCGAACTTACGACCAACAACGGGACAACATGCGGAAATGTATAGGCGGAAATTTACGGGAGAGAATGCGGGACAGCATGCGGTCCATGTGTTCCGCTGTTTCCCTGCTCCCTCCCTCATAATTTTCCATTGCGTTTTCCCTCGTCACTCCAACCTCCAACCTCATCCCTGCTCAAACTCCCTCCTCCTCCCTCCTCCTCCCCTCCCGCTCCTCTCGCGCCTCCCCCTCCCTCGTCTCCCTCCTGATTCCGTCCCCCCTTCCCTCCTCCTTTCCTCTCCCCGCCCTATTTCATAGCTTCGAAACTGAACCTGTCCCTCCTCCTCCTCCTCCTCCTCCTCCTCCTCCTCCTCCCCCTCCTCCTCCTCCCCCTCCCTTCCTCAGCCTCCGAACTGTGCGCGACAACCCCCAAACTTTGCAACACTCCGAATGGTCGATGAACACTCTGCCCTGAACCCTTCCGAACTTGGTCCTCTTCCTCTCTTCCTCTCTCACGCTGGCCTGCTTGAGGTAATCCTGCGTCAGGATATCCGGTCGGCACTTGTCGTCCCAGCCTTAATAGAGCGAGAGAGAACGGTTGCGGGAGGAGGACGAGGAGGCAGAACTGCAGGTTGGGAAGAGATGAATGAGAAGGGAGCGACTGGGTCGCACGGAAACATAAGATTACCATGCCAGCGAGTATTGTGCGCGTCAACTGGCAAGCCCCAACGCATCGCGATCGAGAGAGGGTGGGCACACATTCCCCTCCACTCCAGCCTTTGCGTGCAGCCATCACGGGGAAACCAACAAGTACCGATACGCACCGCTAAGCCCCAGACCTCTTCTGGGGGGCGTTCTGACCAGGATGTCGAGGCGAATCTAGCGGTCGGGAGGAGGGCCTCCCATGAGGCCCAACACGGGGCAAACGGGGGAAGGGTAGCAGTGTAGATGCATGTTCCTCCTCCGCCATCCGATTACCATGCCGTCCAACAGCCCCTGACATACACCAGCCAGGCCGCCCCTCTGACCCCTCTCAGTGCCTCGATGAAAGAAGGTGCGCAGGGGCAGAAAGACAGACCCGCGGGAGAGATGCAGAAAGACCTGGACGCGCTGCAGGACCCACACAGAACGAAAAGGGGCAACAAGAGCCAAAAACACACACACACACACACACATCCTGGGCGTACACGAGTTGTGTAGCGGATCAATCGATCCAATGCAAATCCCCTTCTCCTCCGAAGCTGGTTTACCTATTCGTCTGGACAGGGGGTGCGAGAGGTTGGAATCTCCCGAGACGGCTCTGGATGCCTCGAGGGTTGCCTCCGATACGTGGCTCAAATCACGTCGGCCTCCAAGATTGCGCAACCTGGTCCAGTTCGCCCAAATGGCGACCAGCTTGGCTCCAGATGGCCTCGAACCCGGAACATTCCTGTCGGCATGTCCTGCAAGGTGCTCTGACCAGGACTTCGGCGCCGGCAGCGACTGGCGCGGCAGCCGACTCCACCAACCTGCGAGAGAGCGCGCCCACAGGGCCCCAGCCAACGGAGGGGGCGTCCTCCCTGAAAGGAGGGAGGAGAGGCGTCGTCTCGTCTCGAGTCGATTCAAGCAACAATCCATGCCTGGTCATCTCTGCTCTGGGCTGGGGCAGTGGCGATTCCCTCGGACGCCTCTCTCTCTCTCGCTTCACCTCGATCTGGAGCCTGCCATGCCTGCCAGAAGGGAAGAGGGAGGAGGAACATGAGCAAAAGGAGTAGGAGGAGGAGGAGGAGAAGGATGGGGGATGGGAGAATGGAGGAGGAAAATGAGGGGAGGAGGAAAAGGATGAGGAGGGGAGGAGGAAAATGGGGGAGGGTGGGGAGGAGAGAAAGGAGGAGGAGGAAGAGGAGGGGAAAGAGGAGACGAACGAGCAGGAGGAAGGAAGGAGGGAGGAGGGAGGAGGGTGGTTTGGTACGCCCCCCCCCTGGGGCGCCATCGTGCCGAAACCCCGGCGCGTTCCTCGGCTCCGATCGGGCGGGACAGAAGATCATCTTAGGAAGGTCTGGTACTTCAAAAAGGCGAACGTTCCGCGGCCGACAACGGCGGAAGGTGAAGGTTTTCTCATTCGGCGTTTCGATGCTGGGCGGAAGGGGGGAAGGGGGGAGGGGGCTCCGGACCTCTGCTTAGTGAGGCTGTTTGCAACAGTGCGTGCCTCATGGGGAGACGCCACCTACTCGAAAGGAGCGCCCAAAACAGCCAAGATCTACTCCACGGGGGGGGGGAAGGGGGGGGGGTGCGAGGGCCCGCGCCGATCGGCAAAACAAAAAATAAGAAAACGATCGCAAAGTCCGCCTCTTTGAAGTACCACGGGATGTTTTCGTGCACCGCGGGCGACCCAGAGTGCCCTGGGATCGCTATGGAATTATTTATACGTACGCTCGAGTGAACCTACAGTCTGACTCAGGCGGGAAGAACATCCTTTGAGAACATGAGACCCTCCGTCGGCCAAGACGAACAGAACATCCAAGGGCACCCTCCCTAGGGTACATAAGCACATCCGACAAGCACGAAGAATACTATCGTTGTCGTCGTCGTCCTTCGCCTGAGGGTCGCCCTGGGAAAACTTCATTCTGCTGCATCCTCGGGGAACCTTGCCTGTCTCCTCTCGGCCCTATCCGCGTCGAATCGGTGTCGAATCCATGTCGGACTCGTCGGACCCGTGTCGAATCCGTGTCGAATCCGCGTCGAATCCACGGCAGCTCCGCGTCGAGTCCAGATCGAGCCCGCGTCGGGCACAAGAAAAGACGCAAATGTTGGGGGCACGCGAGGCCCCCCGAAGATGCAACGCAAACTTCGGGGAGCTCCATCGGGCCCCAGGTCAGCCCCGAGCCGCGGCGGTGCGTGAGTAGGCTGGAGAGCACGGGGGCGAGTCGGCGGGGTCCGCCCGCCCCCCTGGGGCGGGCGTGCAAGGACAGGACCGCAATGGTGGTGGTCGTCGATTTGTCCCCCCCTGACTATCTACCAGACCACCCCAACCCAACCCGAAGACGCGAATTTCGGGTTGGGGGGGGGGTAAGGGTTCCACATGTGTTTTTCCCAACCATCCTGTGGTGTTGGGTCCTCGTTTTGAAGAGACAGCGCCCCGCGTTCACTCCTCCTCCCGCTGCCCCCTCCCTCCTGCCATCATCATCATCATCATCATCATCATCATCATCATCATCATCATCATCATCATCATCAGCATCATCAACCCCTCACACGTTTCGTGGCCCCATAGGGAGCTCCAGCGAAGGCCCCAGTGGCTGCGCTCCCATGCGCCCACCGCACCCATTTCTGCACACCCCTCACACGCTTCGTGGCCCCATAGGGAGCTCCAGCGAAGGCCCCAGTGGCTGCGCTCCCATGCGCCCACCGCACCCATTTCGGCACACCCCTCACACGTTTCGTGGCCCCATAGGGAGCTCCAGCGAAGGCCCCAGTGGCTGCGCTCCCATGCGCCCACCGCGCCCATTTCGGCACACCCCTCACACGTTTCGTGGCTTACACCGCATAGTTTCGGGCCCCATAGGGAGCTCCAGCGAAGGCCCCAGTGGCTGCGCTCCCATGCGCCCACCGCGCCCATTTCGGCACACCCCTCACACGTTTCGTGGCCCCATAGGGAGCTCCAGCGAAGGCCCCAGTGGCTGCGCTCCCATGCGCCCACCGCACCCATTTCGGCACACCCCTCACACGTTTCGTGGCCCCATAGGGAGCTCCAGCGAAGGCCCCAGTGGCTGCGCTCCCATGCGCCCACCGCACCCATTTCGGCACACCCCTCACACGTTTCGTGGCCCATGGGGAGCTCCAGCGAAGGCCCCAGTGGCTGCGCTCCCATGCGCCCACCGCACCCATTTCGGCACACCCCTCACACGTTTCGTGGCCCCATAGGGTCCAGCTCCAGCGAAGGCCCCAGTGGCTGCGCTCCCATGCGCCCACCGCACCCATTTCGGCACACCCCTCACACGTTTCGTGGCCCCATAGGGAGCTCCAGCGAAGGCCCCAGTGGCTGCGCTCCCATGCGCCCACCGCACCCATTTCGGCACACCCCTCACACGTTTCGTGGCCCCATAGGGAGCTCAAGCGAAGGCCCCAGTGGCTGCGCTCCCATGCGCCCACCGCACAGATTTCGGCACACCCCTCACACGTTTCGTGGCCCCATAGGGAGCGCCATCGAAGAAGATACTCACAATTGCGGTACTCGCAACTGCATCTGGTTGGGTCTTTCGCCAGGATAATTTCTATGTTTCCCGCCCCCCCCCACTGGAAATCGAGGGTGAATTTGAGCCTTCGGGTTGGGTTGGGGTGGTTTGGTGGGTGGTGATCCCCCCCCGGTGGCGCGTCCTGGTCAAGATCTCCAGAAACCATCCCATGGGCCGTCGACCGACACACTGAAGCAGCTCGACGGCCGTGTCCAGTCCAGGCCCCGAGCTCTGCATCGCCAGGCGCATCCCCATCCTCAACGGGCCAGGGTTCCTCGGCACCGTCAGCACACCCCCTCGAGGTGGGCAAGATGGATGGGAGGCACAAAGACATACTAGTACTACATGTCCTCCTTGGAGGCACGCGTCCGACCCGAACATATAGTATCTCCATCTTGAGTATGTCGTTTCCCGAGCGGTGTGGTCAGAAAGCGCCCGCCACGACGCATATGCTATAGAATTTCTCGGTGCGCGCGTCGCCCCTGGGGGGGACGACGCACATATAGTAGAAGTATGGTGGGGTGCCGCCGACACCCCCTCGAAGTGGGCAAGATGGATGCCACGAAAGCAAGCGGGGACCTCGTCGCCGCAGGTTTGCCGTGACAGTGGAGGCCCCACACCGTCCTCACGCACCCATGATCTGAGCAAGCCGGCCCTTAGTGGGCCCTGGAAACGACAGGGCCGCTTTTTTTTACCGGTTCCGTTTTGCCGTTTTTTTGCGGGTTCCGACGCCGTTTTGTTTACCGGTTCCGTCGCCGTTGTTTGACCGGTTCCGGCTCCGGTTCCAATCCTGGAGCCGTTTTTTTGCCGTTTCCGGTTGCCTTTTTTTGCCGTTTCCATTTTCAAGGGACATTTTTGGGGAAACCATGAAAAAACGGCCCTGGAGGCCCTTCGCAGGTCCCGAGAGCTCTCACCTCAGGTTTTCTCGAGCGGCACGATGCATCGGCACGAACAGCCACCCGAGACGGCGTCGCGCTTGTCGCGAAGAGCCTCTTCGAGGAGAGCAGCTGAATCCATGAGATCGCAGTGTGAATGCACAACTGATGGGGCGGCTGCACGGAACCTGCAAGTTGAGAAACGAGACGGCTAAACAAGGCTGACTCGTGAGCCGACTTGTCCAGATGAGAGAGAACGAGGGGGCCACGACAGAGCGAGGAGCTGGTGTAGGAGAGGACAAACAGGACCTGAAGGAGGAAACACGGAGGGACTCCAAAGCGGCACACGCTGAGCGGCTCTAGAACCGCGCTGGGCACAAATCGAAGACCGTGCGTCGCAAGCAACTGACAAGCCACTGGCCATCGCTCAGACGTCCATTCCCTGTGCTTTTGTTCGGTTTTGTGCGTGTTTTTTCGCCAAATGAT